AAAAAGTAGTCTTAATGTATGTAGATCACTTCAAATGTAATGCCTCCTATTTATTTCCATGGAAACTACAATAGTTACAAAGAGCACAGTAACACTATTTAATAGAGCAAATTCTCAGCTACAAAACACAATTTTTCAACATAGTCACCACCGTTAGGCAATCTGGGCAGATGAATTGATTGAGGCACTCTTCATTTTGTGGTGTGACAGCTGTGCATGGCCACATGGAATGTGGCTTGTCTTTCATATCACTTTTATACTGCTATTTCCACTGCTGAAATGCACCACCCTCCTCCTCACTGTCACATTCACCATTTGGTCTCCATAAATGTTCAGTAAGCAACAATGAATATCAACGTGTGAAATTTTTTTCCTTACGGAGAAATTCAGTTTCACCTCTTTGATTCATATGCACTTCTGCACCAGACACCATTCAGTCAGATATCAACTAAATGCAATGGAATATTGGTTGGAAAGTTCAACCTCTGTTGCCATAACATCAACATCTGCCTCTAATGTCTCGGGCTAACCTAATGAAACAGGAATTATAACTGCCATCTCACTAATTCACTGTTTATCTTGGTGGAATAAAGCACTCAGGCTAAAAACGTGAATTATTCTTTACATTAAAGTTTAACTTTCTATATCAAAACTTTCCAGGTCTTTTCCAGTTACCACTCTGTTTTTATACTTACCAAGAATAAATAAGTTTATTTTCCTATGCTCTTACATAGAAGCTGTTGTTGTCAAGGTGTTAAAGGATGTCTTCCATGGGCTCTTGTGTACTTCCATCTGCACTTTAAACATTTCCAAGGTGCTAAAGTCAGAGACCTGCTTATTAAACATCTAAATTAGATGTCTGAAAAGGTGAATTGTCCTCAAGCAGCACTAACACATAGGGCTGCCAGATACAAAGCATAGATACAGACAGTTCTCAGACTGCTGACCTTCTTGCCCAGACAAGATCACACGGTCCACAGTAGTGCCTGAGGTGGTCACAACAAGTTGATTCCTGCTTTCATTTCTCTGTAAGGATCCAGGCAGTGGATCTCATCTAATAATGCTTCAGACCAGAAAGCAGCTGGTTCTAGAAAAGTTGTATTTTCTTCTGATGTTTATTCTGATGTTTATTCTTCTATAGTTTATTCTGATGTTCACCAGAGAACATCAGAATAAGAATTGAATGTTAAGACTGATATCCCTTCTTCATTATCATCAGCTGAACCTCACTGCAAAGCTTTACACAGGTGCCAGCACTGTCAGTGTTAGTACTACAGCTGCTTCGTGAGGGAACGGAAGGTAACAGCCTGTTTATTAAATTTATCCAGTGCTAACTGGTGCTCCAGGGAACATTCAATTTTAATTTCAAATTCAATTTTAATTTTAATTTTGTGAAAAGGTACTTTCAAACACACAGCAATCATCATATTGAAAACCAGAATAAAGCAAGCTTCCAATTGTCTGGCTAGCAAGTATTTGAAAAAATCTTGTTGTAAGCAGTAGCTGTAACAAAGAACAGGATTGCTGGTTTTAGAGTACATGGAAAAGCATATAAAATAAATGAACACGACCCTTTGATTCCAGTAATTCTCATGACAAATTTGCCTCCTAATTCTAGTGAACCTCTAATCCACTAATAGAGAAGCATAAGCTCTATTTTAAGTTGTACACAGCATAATGAATAGCTATAATTACTTCAGCAGAATAAGGAACATTATCAACCAATATGCACTGTGACTCAGGCAAGTTTTTTATTTTGTCAGCAGTTGGAACATACAGCTGCTCATATTTGTTAGTATTTCACAATCAGCATTACATTTATTTACTCACTTACAAACTGCTATGAAGTGCTACTTCCTAACCAAATAAATTACAAACTGTAGACATCACAAACACTACACAGAAATATGAATTACACATAAATGGGATACAAAGATGGGAGGGAAGGGAAAGAGAAAGAAGTGTTTGCTCTTAAACGTGTAACCCAAGTTCTGATGAAAAAAGATTCTAATGGCTTAGAAGGCTGTGCTGTATGCTGAATACACAGTAACATATCCACTTCAGTCTAATACTTGCCAGGCAAATCACAAAGCCCTCTCAAGCTACAGCAGCATATAATTTCTTTGAATGTTTTCCTGAGCTCCTGACTCCGAAATGCATAGATAAGAGGATCAATGATGGAATTGCACATGATGAGGATGAGGTAGAAGTTAAAGTGGGACATGAAGCACACACAGTAAGGGTTGTAGGGGCAGGAGATGTAGAAAATGAGGTGCAGAAAAAACGGGGCCCAGCACACAACAAAAACTCCAATCAGTATAGTGAGAGTGATGGCCCCTTTCATGTTGGCCCCTTGGCGAATGGGGCCAGTCCCTGGTAGAACTGCTATCTTCTTGATATGCATCCGAGCCATCATGAACATGTGAACATAAAGGGATGCCATGAGAATGAGCATGGTGAAGAACATGCTGATAAGGCAGATGATGACAACACTGCTGTCAGAGTAAATAATGAACAAAATGCCTGAGACAGTGCAAGCAGCCCAGATACATGTGATGATGACCCCTACGCGCTTGACCGTCATGATATTATGGTACTGGAGGGCATAAAAGATAGTAAAATACCTGTCCACTGCTATTGAGAGGAGGCTGCAAATTGATGCAAGCAGGGAACTGCAAATCACTGAGTCAATGACATTGTCAATGTTTATGGTAAAGCTCTGTGCATCTGTATCTGTATTGTTTAGCAGCGTGATGACAATCGTTTCTGATCCATTAGATACACTCACTAGCATGTCAGCCACTGCCAAGCTACAGATGAAGAAGTACATGGGTGAATGGAGGTTCTTGTTCTTGGCTATTGCCACAATGACCAAGACGTTCTCCAGCAAGCTGATGATGCCCAGAGTCACAAACACTTCAGGGGATACAAAGAGTTGTTCGTAGCAGCCTCCCGAGGAATGGCCCTTTGCACTGGGCTCGCTGGCACCCCTGTGCAGTCCGTTGCTGTGGTTCCAGAAATGGAGAGGCTGGAGTGTCCCATGATGCTGGGTGAAATTCATCTTATGGAGAAACCCTCTCAGCTTCCTGCTTTTAAAACCGTCCTTTTTGTATTCCTCTGAAATCCTCCTTTTGCTTTTCAGTTTGGGAAGAAAAGAAAAATGAGGCAGCACTGAGGCAGTAGTTCAGAGCACTTTGCTGTTGTAAAATAAGCTTTCAAACTCAGAGATGCTGGTTTGCTCTCTCACAGATGCAGATTCTGATCATCATCACATTTCATCTTGGTGATCTGTATCACTGAGTCCCAACAGTATGGAAGTTTGCATCAGATTCTCCCCTAAATTCACTTCTTGCTTAGTTCACTATTATGCTGCAGGTCTTTTTTTTTTTTAACTCTTCCATTGAGAGAGGTAAATGTAAAATGCTTAGGTGCCTGCTGCCGAGCAGAAACTAATTTCAAACTCCAAGCACCAGTCTCGCTGTCAGGCAGTGCATGCTGACTGCCTGCTTTATGGTGTGTGGAGGAGAAAAATACTGTGCACTCTCCGCCTCTGCTTTGCTTTCCAGCCAATGGGACTCGGCGCTGCAAAAAGTCAAGGGGCTGCTAATTCCGAGTCTCTCTGAAACATCACACAGTACTGCAGACTTGGATGCTGCACGAGCTTTCAGTAGCAACAGGCAAGCAGAGGGGCTACAAGAGATCTATTTTCCCTCTTTAATTTTCAGAATAATATATTAGCAGTGATTTTGTATGAGCAAAGTTATAGCTGCATACTACCAGTCTTACAGAATTTCCTGAGATGAACTGATGGGTTTTTATTTTTCAGACGGCGATCTGCCTCTTCTGTGGCATATAGTTGCTCTGCTTTGTGTATCAGGCAAAATAGAAAAGGGATTAGGAAGCAAGAAAATATTTATCTCCTATTGCTCCTTTCTTTCTGACCTCCCACCCATTGTTAATTTTTCTATGCCTCAGTTGTCCACTTGCAAGACACACTGTTGTAAGGCTGCATTATACTGGCTAAGCTGGTTGTAATTTTCAAGGAATGGAGACCATCCAGTGCCAAAAATAGGGGAAGGAGTCCAAAGACTTAATTAGTTTAATAAATTTTCCTAAAGAAAATAATTTTATTCCAGATAATACTCTTCTTCATCATCCTATTTCCATGAGGGAAAAGATAATAGAGTTGAATTCTGAAGCCTTGCCACCATCAGGAATTAGGATGCTGCACAGGAAAAAAAAAAAAAAAAAGGGCAGTACTTAGAACAGATGTAGGAAAGCAACAGGAGATAATGTTGGAGCCTGTGGGAAATGTGGCTCAGACACAAATAATGACAACAAGTCATGAATAAATCTAGTAAAATCCAACCAAATGTCTGTCCCTGTGTTTACTTGACATGAGCTGAAAGTCAGCTTGAGTGCAGCCTGATGACGAAAGCCCTTGAGAAGAAGCAGTAGAATATCAAATAAATACAAAGAAGTAGAGACAAAAGTAGTTTCAGTGTTTGAAAAAGTGCAATTAAAGACTAAAAACCAAATATATGAAAAGAAGCCTAAATTATAGCTGGATTTTTAAGTTACAAAAGCTATGTGGGAGTCAGTTGTTACACCTGAGTGTAATTTTTGCAGTGATGTGGTTTGAATGATTATTTCCAGTAGCCTATCAAAATATTCTTCATCTTCTATGCATTAGCCATTTTCCAAATGAAAGCTGAAGAGACACAGGAACATAGCATGCTTGTGGAAGCACAGCTATCTGTACTCAACATCCCAGCATCAGGATGAAGCACAGTTTTACTTTCGTATTTGAATTTGATTCAATGGTTATGAAGATCTGTATCAGAAGAAAAGCCTCAGCCAATTGTTTGTGAGCCTCCTCCCAGATAGATTACTTCACAGAGCTGAAACATAAACACAAGACAAACAAAATAACTTGAGGCAGAGGAAACCTCATCTTTATAGTTTGGAAATATCGTTCACCAGCAACATCCTTGCAACTAGGACTCAAAAAGATGCATTATCTATCTACTGGTTCCTGGGCCAGAAGCTGTAACTCCTGCTACAGATAGGACTTGTGTACCTAACCCTTAAAGGCATAGCTACACTGGGAGAACAGAGACAACAATTTATAGATGTGAGAGCAGCATCTTCCCAGACAATGTATTTCTTTGCACCTGCAGCCAGAAGTGTGTCAACTGCAAGGCACATCAGGGAAGCAGTTGTTCAGCATCCATTGCTCCTTGCATGGCACACAGCACAGGGACTTCTACCTTTGGCTTACTTTGGTGGACCCAGAGCAGTAGAGACTGACAAGAGAAGCTGCCTCCAGGAGTCACTGTTCTGTTTCCTTCATCTGGATTTTCCTTTTCTCTTCGCATTGCCTATTTTCATCTCCAGCTATAGCCAGTGAGTAAAGGTAAAGATAAATCATTAGCTTTCTCTGGCTAGAAGGTAAAATGTGTCATATGAATACTTCTTTAGATGAGAAAAGATGTATGCATGTCTAAATATTTCTATGGTAGAGGATGGATATCTGCCTCTGGCTCCCACTTAACAAAACTGAAACCACACAATCCTAAAATAGCACAAAGGAACTTTGTCATGCCTGAAAGTACACTAATATGTAAGATTTTCTTTAATGATGGATAACAGGAGTAATATACTAAAACTGTTCCTTAAATTTTAAAAAATAAAGTTGAGCTAATATTTCTTGAATGTATTGTAAGTGAAGAGATTTTCAGTACCATAAGAAAACTGCAGTGTCTGAAGAAAATTGATAAATTAATTATAGTGATGTATCAACACAAGCTCCAGTGCTTAGAAGAAACTTCAGTGAAGATTTGATACTAGCCTCCCCTTTCAATATAATAAGGAATCATACGATAAAAGATACTATTTTAACTAGTATTACAAAATGTCAATTTTAATAATTCTTCTTACACAGTTTACCCTTGTCCTATGTTCCATTTCCAGCTATCCTTCAACATCCACTCTTCAGATAGGGTTTCCATCATCTCCTCTTCACAACATTTTGAAATGTCAAGTGATTGTATAACAGTTGCTTAAGAAAGTCAGAAAAGAGCTTTCACTGGAGCCATCAAGTATAAAAAATACCAATGAAGATACAGGAAGACAAGATGAGTCAGAATCAGGCTGCATTGGCCTGGAGAAGAAAAAGGTAGTTATTTAGCACAGTCACATTCCTGCTTAAGGCCTGTGAATATTTGAATCCCATATCCATGTTGGTCAAGAACAGAGATGAGATTTACTATTTCAATGTCTGTCTGTAGAAACAGAGGAGAAATTGTAAGAAACTCATTAGAAGGAAGATCCAAGCGAGTAGATTATCAGAACAGTATTATTTTCCATTGAGTCTGACACAAGTGTGAAAACATATCAATACAGAAAAGGCTATCACAAACTTCAGATGCTATCCTAGAACACAAGAAATGCAGAGAACTAATACTGGTTTGGAGGTAATAGGTGTGATGCCTGTTGCATACAACAAAGAAAATTCTCATAGTATGTCACCAGTTCTGCAGCATAGAACTTGAGAAGTTTGTGTGCAATGTTACTATCCAGAAAAAAAATAGAAAAAAAAAAAAAAAAAAAAGCACTATAAGAAATAAATTATTATTCTTTGTGTTTGTACAAATTCAAACAACAATTTAGCCAATCTGGCCACCAAAAAGCAGTGAAATGTATATTCTGCTAGCAAATGAAACATTTCCTACTTGAATATGCTGTGAATGTGTGAGTGGAAAATTTCCCATTAAAATTCCATGAGTTCTGGGGCTTTGAGTGCTTAAATATTTAAATCTGATCTCATTTCAGCCTTAGGCAATTACTGCTGTGATCATGGAGATCGTCTTTATAAAGTCAATGCAGTAGTCACTATCCTTGACCAAGTTTTTCCCCTCCCAACCATTCTCTCCCAAATAATCAATATTCTCTTATTTGCTTTTACATTCAAATGGTTGTCTGCTCATACTCATCAGAAGCACTCTGTATAAATAACTCTAGAATAAGCTTAGTGTTGGTATCCATCTCCAAATAACTCTCCATGGACCAGCATGCAGGATTAAGTATAAAATAAACATTGCTCTTCATCCAGTTCAGCAAATAATCCTGAAATTGTCATTTCCTCATTTTGTTTTATGCCAAAAACATAAGCTAATCTGGCCTTTTCCTTTCTCTTTTTTTCCACGGTCTTTTGTACAAGTACAACAAAGGAAATATTCATAACAATTACATGCTCTTCTTCACTGCCTATATCATCCCAAACAGAGCAGCTTTCAGCACTGCCATTGCTTCTCTCACTTCAGATCATTATATAATTTTATATTATGAACTTAAGAATTATCTTTGCTTTTTTGGTTTCACATTCAGTTTTCTTCTGTAATGATATTCAGTGTTTTTCAGTGTGAGAGGTGCAGTAGCATTTTATGCTTTCAAAAAAAACTGTTTAGTCAGTTCAGCTGTCTAGCCATGAAAGCTTGGAAATGCTATGTCTCATTATAGTCAAATGAGAAGCAGAGAACCAAGACAGAAAAAAATTACAGAACATCATTTAGTGATAGCTGAAGATTGCATAGTGGCAAAAAAAAAACCAAACAAACAAACAAAAAAAAACCTGCTGTTTTGGATGACACTAGGTTAGCTCAGCCTTTCAGAAAAGTCCTCAGAGTGGGGTTATAACCTACAGTTAATGTGATATGCAAAGGTACTAACAGCTTAAGTTCTCTATTTTGGCCTTTTTTCTTCAGAGGGTGGCAGTGCTGTTATATACCAATGAACAAGCCATGCCAGCTACTTCTTAAATTCATACCAGAAAGTTATTGGTGAGACAAGTGTAAAAAGATGAACAGTCAGTTGATTAGAACCTCTATAAATCAGGATTATTTATTGATGGAATTTAGGAAGGTAGCAGCTGTGGTCAGGGCCCTGACACCAATCATTCAGTACTACAGGATGGCATGTGTCCTATAAGGCTTCTGCTTCCAGTGTTTGGGGGACTAAAACCCTTTGGTGTTGAGGATTGGGACAGAGAAAATAACATGC